TGGTGATGATTTAAACTGCATATTCAATGACGATAATGCTGAAAAGCTGATCCTTCGTATCCGCATCATGAATGATGAAGCTCCCAAGGAAGATTTGCATGATGGATCTGCTGAGGATGATGTCTTCCTTAAGAAGATTGAGAGTAATATGCTGACAGAAATGGCTCTTCGGGGTATCCCAGGTATAGATAAGGTTTTCATAAAAAATAGTAAGGTTAGCAAGTTTGATGATAATGAAGGGTTCAAGGCAGAAACCGAGTGGATGCTGGACACTGAAGGTGTCAATCTGTTAGCTGTTATGTGTCATGAAGATGTTGATGCAAGGAGAACAACAAGTAATCACTTGATTGAAGTTATTGAAGTCCTTGGAATAGAGGCCGTGCGTAGGTCTTTGCTGGATGAATTGCGGGTTGTGATATCTTTTGATGGGTCTTACGTGAATTACCGACATCTGGCAATCTTGTGTGATACCATGACGTATCGCGGTCATCTGATGGCCATCACCCGTCACGGAATTAATCGGAATGATACTGGTCCCATGATGAGGTGCTCATTCGAAGAAACTGTGGACATTCTTCTTGATGCGGCAGTATATGCAGAAACAGACTACTTGAGGGGAGTTACTGAAAATATCATGTTAGGTCAGCTTGCACCTATTGGGACTGGAAACTGTGTCTTGTACCTTAATGATGAGATGCTACAGCATTCTATTGAACTCCAACTACCTAGTTATGTGGAAGGTGGCATGGATGTTAGCACGACACCTTCCTGCTCACCAGCCATGGGAACTCCATATTACGAGGGGTTGACGTCTCCTAGTTATTTGCAAAGCCCGAATCTCCGTTTGTCACCCATTACTGGTGCCCAGTTTTCTCCTTATGTTGGTGGAATGGCCTTCTCACCATCATCATCAGGTTACAGTCCATCATCTCCTGGTTATAGTCCATCATCACCTGGATATAGCCCTACCTCCCCTGGATACAGTCCCACTTCCCCTGGTTATAGCCCCCCTTCTCCAACCTACAGTCCTAGCTCTCCGGGATATAGCCCTACTAGTCCTGCATATTCTCCAAGTAGTCCATTTTACTCTCCCAGCTCTCCCAGTTACAGTCCTACATCGCCTAGTTACAATCCTTCCTCACCTACTTATAGCCCCACCTCTCCAGCGTACTGCCCCACTTCTCCATCTTACAGCCCCACTTCTCCATCTTACAGCCCAACCTCTCCCGCTTACAGCCCTACTTCTCCATCTTACAGCCCAACCTCTCCGTCCTACAGTCCAACGTCTCCGTCTTACAGCCCAACCTCTCCATCATACAGCCCCACCTCTCCCTCCTACAGCCCGACTTCTCCATCATACAGCCCGACTTCTCCATCATACAGCCCGACATCACCGGCATATAGCCCCACCTCTCCTGGTTACAGTCCCACTTCACCAAGCTACAGCCCAACCTCTCCGAGCTACAGTCCTGCATCTCCAGGTTACATTCCCTCGGCAAATTACAGCCCGTCACTGTCATATTCACCAAGCAGTCCAAGGCTGTCACTTTCTGGTCCATACAGTCCATCTCCAAATTATAGGTAAGTTGTGATTGGGTATCTGCCGAAGTTTTATGGGTCTCTGGCTGAAGCAGATGCTTGAGTTTACAACCTTTCTGTAATTAGTTGGTTGACTTTTGTTACATAGGAGTGTTAGGCGATTTTTCTTAGTTTTGATGACATTAATTGGAGAACTGGGCAAGTAGGTTTCTAATGACTCTGATCTTTTTTGCAGCCCGACATCTCCAACATATTTACCTTCGAGTCCAACATACAGTCCCAGCAGGTGAGCTTTATTTTGCTGATTCTAGTTAATATTGTTTGATATCCTTTTTCTTTCAATCCTTACCAAACCTGGTTGTAGCATGTGGTTTTAGTCAAACTAGACTTGTGTCCTTTTTTATTAACATCATGTTTATGTGTTTTTTTCGTTCTTTTTCCATCAAATTAGAATTCTGTTGTGATTACAAACTCAAACGATTTTGTCACAGTTTTAGTGAGTTTCAGCTATAATTTAACTGGTTGAGGTGTTAAATTCACAACTCTGCACTTGTATTCCCTCTTTCTTATTTGACGATGCCTTAGTGGTAAGACTAAAGTATTATTTTTAACTTTGTCATTGTCCATATCATTATTGAGTTCATATAAAGAATATTTAGCATCTCGTTTTAACAATCTGGCTATGAGAAAATATTTCTCTCTGTGCTTTAAGATATCTGAAGAGCTTACGCACCGTGTCAAACAGTTACAGGGTTCTTTTGCATTGTTAAAACATCTCAAGTCTTCTGTTATACTTTCAAAAGAGGGTTAATGGTGTGTTCTCTTTAGTGTTTGTATGTAAATAGATGATAATCTTTTTCTATTTTCTAATATTCAGCCCATATAATTCCGGTGTGAGCCCCGTCTATAGTCCAAGTTCTCCTCAGTACAGGTGAGCAAAACTGCTATCCTAGATTTTGGGAAGCTTTATTGACAATGAACTGCTGAACCGGTTTGGTTATAAACTTCTGTGTGTATGCAGTTCAAGTGTGGGGTACTCACCAAGTGCACCTGGGTACTCACCATCTTCTACCAGCCAGGACACACCGCATATGAGCGATGAGGAAGAAGAGAGCAACGTGGATAGCAAAAGCAGTCATTAGAAGCCTAAATCGAGGTAGCTTTATTAATTCCATGGTAGTTGATCTGATATCTGGCTTGCATTTTAAGGTTAATATGCCGAACTCATCAAAGGTCTGAAGTAGTAGTAGTAGCAGTGATTGCTGTTGTCGTTACTATTATTATTATTTAATGTGAACTCCAAACCTGTTGAAGTTGATTGTTTCAGTTGGTCCTTTGTTGAGACATATATTTTTTTTTAACTTCAAATTTATAAACTGGAATGAATATAGACACTTGAAAGATTGTTGAAGAAGAGATATGGGATTGATTCAAAGCTGTGCTGAGCTGCTTATTCATTTTTTTGGGTGTGATTTGCAGTGTCTCGGCGGATAACAATAGTTCAGGGGGAAGAGAGTTGAACGGAGTGAAGCTCTGGTAATCCATCATCAGCACCAGGCAACGGCACTTGAATGTCATTCCATATGCTGTATCAATCATTCGGTAGTGATGAGTTAGGATGTACAGAATATGCAGGAGTAGTTGACTTTCTGTTAGAACACGTTGTAAATGTATTTCGTCTTTCTAATGACAAGGCAGTGTGATTTGATTAGCTTGCAAATTGGAATGGGTTTCTGCTTATTTTGCTTGTTAGTGATCTAGGTCAGGTACTTGTATACTGATTTGTACCGGGTGAGACTAAAATTCGAGCTTGTTTTACTTCATACATCGCTTTAAAAAAGGGTCGTCTTTGTCTAGGAAGGAGACCAAATGCCTAGCTATTAACATGAACCCTGTTAAATGAGGAAGGTTTTATGTGGACTTAATCAAAAGGTTGAGGTTGGACATTCTCAACTGTCTGAAATGGTGTTCATGAGTTGTTTCATGTTTCAGAAAACAGTGCTCATGAGCTAACATTAATAAAAATTATTTTCACACAATCTGTTTTTTGATGAGCTGTCTTAATGTTTTTCTCGTATACTTTCTCATTTGGAGGAAATAGAATAAAAAAACAGAAAAACAGGAGTGAAACTGACAAAGAAAATGGGTAAATTTTTTTTTTTTTTGCCTCTTTAATCCTTGACAAACTAAGGCATGTACAGTAGAAATCTCATACATTGGCATGCAACAACATACATGTATAGCTAGATAACTCATTAAAATCAAAGGTATTATGATTTAGACATCCTACCTCAATTGGGATGAAAACCCCAATTACCTCCAAAATGAAATCGCCCAAAATTTTCCTTCCGCAAAACAGATTTTTCAGTTTGTTACTTTCAGCTTTGAAAATTCATAAAAATTTCAGTTCTTTAACAAATTGAATGATTCTAAAGCCCAATGAAAGATTAAACACTATAATTTGAAAATATCAATTTAGTTTAATAAAATTCTTTCCCAATTGAAACGGTTTTGACACAAAAATTTGAATAAAATTCTGTCCAGAAAACAGATTTTCAGCATGTAGCTTCCAACTTTAAAAATTCAAGAAAAATTCAGTTCTCATCCAAAGTGAATGAATCTAAAGTCAATTGAAAGTTTAAAGACTATAGTTTGAAACTATAAATTTACTTTACCAAAATATCTCACCATTTAAAACAGTTTTGATGAGAAAGGTCTGAGAAATTCTATCCCCAAAACAGAATTTCCAGCAAGATGACTCCAACTTCATAAATTCATAGTAAATTATTTTTCAATTAAATTGTGTCATCGTTTATTAATATAGTTAAACCATGCTTTGAATGAGATGATTATGGTCCCTTGTAATAATGTATGCTAGTTGTTGATAGAATGTCTCCATGATAATGTGGGCTGGTTTTATGCAAAGAAAGTATGATAATTTATGAGATGATCATCCATGTATGTTAAATTAAGGAATTGCATTATTGCATTCGTAGCATCCATCACGTAGTGTGTGTATGGGATGGGATTGGCTATGGAGGTTGATTTTTTTAAAAACTTTGATAAAAAGAAAATTGTGAATATAAAGCCATAAGGAAATAGAATAAAAAACAGAAAAACAGGAGTGAAACTGACAAAAAAAAAAAATGGGTAATTTTTCTTTGGTTTTTTGTTTTGCCTTTAATCCTTGACATATTAAGGATTAGAAAAGTAACTCAAATGTTAACTGAATTAAAATTTTATCAAAATTACGTTGGTGTACAATTCGAAGTTCAAATCAAGTAACAGGAACCTTAACACAAGACTCGTGCTCGGTTGTTTGTGCACAACACAAAACCCTACCACGGGGCTGCCTGTCTACCAAAATAAAGATGTTTTGGCGTAAATTTTAAAATGTACTAAATGTGTGAAAATCTGAGGAATTACAGTTGGCTAACTAATTTATATACCGTTAACCCGGCCCATTTTACCAGATAGACCACCAAGCACCTCCTTCTCTTTCCCTCTGCTTGAGCAGAGAGAGAAGTGAGAACTATGTCACCACCACAAGCTTTACTAAACCCTCAAACCCCAAAACTCTTCTCTCTCCTCCCAACCTCCCCCTTTTCTCTCTCTAGCTCTCACGGCCTCGCTCCGTTCCAAACCCTAACATTCTCACGAAAACCCCCCTCTCTCTCTCCTAATTCTCTCTCCTCCTCTTCAAACTCCTTCCAATTCTCCTCCCAAAACCAACAGCAACACCCTCAATACGACGATGAAGAAGACGAGCAAGTCATCGGCGATTGCCTTGTCTTTGAAGAAGGCGTATTCGAAGACCCATATCTTCAAGAAAACAACTTCGATTCCAATACAAATAATAAGCTTCAAAAGAGTAAATCTTCAGTAGAAATCAAGCCTGAGGATTTGATTCCAGAGAAATGGAAGAAAGCTCAGGCGGAGATTAACATTACGAAGAAAGAGAGGCGAAAGATTGCTCAGGAATTGGAGTTCGGTCGCCGGGTTGAGAAGAAGAAGAAGGGTTTGGTACCTATAAGGGAAGGGGTTTTGGAGGAGTATGTGACGTATAGGGATGCTAAGTTGGCGCAATTGAAGCCTCTCGTTCTCGATAATCCGAGTTTTCCGGCGAGCGAGGGTGGGAATGATGAGAAAGTTGTTGGAGAATTGAGAGATGGGGATGGGAGTTGCTCGACGAGTAGCAGAGTGGCGCCAAGGAACCCTAGGATGGCAGTTTATGGAGGTACTTTAGATGATGTTTCGGAGTTCTTTAATAGTGGGATTTATCATCCTAATGCTGCTCGGAAATCCGAAGGTACTTATGTTGCTGGTGATGGTGAATTTGGTGTTATTCGTTTCTGTGTCTTGATAAATTGATGATCTTTATATGTCAAGGGATGGCTAGTCAATGTTCTTGTAAAATGTGATTGAATTCATGTACATAGAATTGCTACTCACAGAGAGATGCTTTTTTTTTTTTTTTTCAATTGAGAACTTGTCATATCATACATGGACTCAAATTAATATAGTAATTGCATTTAAGGCAGTAAATGAAGTTTTTGTGTGTTTTGTTTGGTGGGTGTGTGTGAAGTGGTGCTAAAACTCACGAACATGGATTCAATGCAAGAATGGTACATTGGAACTGCGGTTCTTCTTAATTCTGACCTATATTTAGCAAATTCAATATTCATGCACTTACCAAAATGTGATTATGTGGATGTAGATTTTCTCTTTTGTTGTTTTTTAAGTGGTCATGAGAGGTTGCCCGGAGAGGGCCTTTGCATGATGCTCGAGTATCAGTGTCCTTGGTGCGAGTTTGCGTCTCAAATTCAGCCACTTTGTGAAATATCAATGGTTAGGTCTGTCTCGAGTCTTCCCTCCTTAGGATTCTACCTTGGCCATAACTGAGTAATTTCTTTTTGTCCCATGAGAGTTACCCCATCAAATGCAGGTCTAGTTCCTCATTTTGATTTGTGTTGGATGACAGCCTTCTTTACCTGCATGCATGCAGCAGTGGTGCACCAAGTATGAACTTATTAAATCAACCAATGCAGCTTTTTGTCCCCCAATACATCCTTTTAGTTCAACTAGGCTCCATGCATATGATGCGGATTTGAGATCATTTATAAGCTTTCATGGGTAATTGTTGGATTTTGTATTTGTGTCATTAATTTTATTTATTTATATATTATGTTTACTGTGTATTTAGCCCAATAATGAATGTTAATTCACCAGTGGCTTTTTTCTATTCATACTAAAGTTTGGAAATCTAGATTTTGATTGCCAAATTCCAGGTGATATGGGTTTATGTAACCCCTTTCAACTGTTACTTCAAAATATATGTTTTGGGGCTCAAACTCTGTTCAAGGTTTTTGCCAAAATCTAAATCTGCAACATAAAGTTTTTTAAGGCAATGGATTTGGATTTCTGAGTTCGAAATTTCATTATCAATATGATATTATTTTGGTACCAAATTTACTGCATCTGAACTTTGTCATGAAGGTTGATACTCAATTTTCCATTTCAGTCACAATTTTCCTTGACCTGGGACTAACCAAAGCAATTATTTTAATTATTGGATATTTATGTGCGTAATTTTCCATTTCCTTTTTTTTTTATTTTTTTTTTATTTTTATTTGATTTAATTTTTTATCTTTTGGTCTTTGATGGTTTGAAGAAAATTTATTTTTCACCCCTTCAAAATTACACATTTTGTTATTTTGAAGTAGGAATAAGCTGGTACTTTTGGTTGTCTTTTTGAGATATGAAATTAAGTCCTTGTACTTTAGGTTTCATTATATTCTCTTTTATGCTTAAATGAGTAGGCCGTCGTAAGCTGTTTACAAAGGAGGAAAAGGTCCTACTGAACAAGCGGGTACCTGATCTGGCAGCTGCTACATCTGTAAGTTTCTTATGGTCCCTGAATAGTTTTTCTCTTTTTAATTTTTTACTTTTAGTTAATTTCTCTTTAATTTAGTTATCAATCCTGTCAAATCACTGTGAGGTTTGTTTTAAAATATTTGACTGGACATTTACAGTGTGCAAATGAAATGTTTATATGTTTGCAAATTTGTCTATCTTTAGGTAATAGTTGATGTAGTTTGCAGTATATATTTTAATCAATTAGATGATCAGGTTATGTAATTTTTTATTTTGAAATGGACAATGGCAGTAGTCCATAATTTGTGTCAAGTAATTTGTTTTTATTACCTTATGTGGGGGTTTGGACTTGCATTCGAAAGGGATGGGACGTTTTTCGTAATCATGTTCGCTTTAGGATCAGGGATGGTAGAAGGATCAGATTTTGGGAGGACCTTTGGTGTGGGGATCTTCCCCTTGTTCTTTCCTTCCCTCGGCTTTACAGGATTGCTTCTGACAGGCAGGCCTTGGTGGTTGACTGTTATCACCTTGATAACGGAAAACTAATTTGGGACGTTCAGTTTAGGAGGCATTTTCAGGATTGGGAAATTGAAGAGGTCACTCGTTTTTTGGAGTTACTGTATCGTCAGGTGATCTCTCATGAGGAGGCTGATTGTTGGCTTTGGAGTCCACACTCTCAGGGTCGTTTCGAGGTGAGATCCTTTTTCAGGTGCCTTTCTGATGGGGAGGGTGACACTTTCCCTTGGAAGGCTATTTGGCGTTCCAAGGCTCTCCTTAAGGTGGCCTTTTTTGCTTGGACGTCTGTCTTGGGTAGAATATTAACCCAGGATAATTTGAGGAGGAGAATGCAGGTGGTTATCAATCACTGTTACTTGTGTCGTTGCGATGAGGAGACAATGGATCACCTTCTGTTGTATTGCAGTATGGCCAGAGATTGTTGGGATTTGATGATTTGGTTATTTGGGGTTCCCTGGGTTATGCCCTGTTCCTCTAGAGGGTTGATTGAGGCTTGGAGAGGTGTCTCTGTTGGGGCGCTCATCCGGGATGCTTGGAGGGCTACCCCTCTCTGTGTTTGGTGGTGCATTTGGCTCAAGAGGAATCGAAGATACTTCGATAAGGAGAAACCCATTTCTATGCTTAAGTTCTCTATTATTTCTACCCTCTTTTGTTGGGTCTCAGGGAGAGATTATCGTTCTGTTGAGGAGATTGTTATTTTTTTGGCCTCTTTGAAGGCTTGAGGCTCTTTATGGTTTTTTTTTTTCTTCTTGTTTCCTTGGGTTTCGCTCCCTTTTGAGCGCTTTTTTATAAAATTCTTACTTATCAAAAAAAAAAAAAAAAAATGTGCTCTGGACTTATCAGTAGAATTATCCAGTGTATGTTGATGATTGAATGTATTTTTTCCGTCAATTTGTTAGTTCTGTTGAATTCATTTTCAGGGAAAATGGCAACCTCTTCACACTCTTACTGCATCTGGAGAGTTTTACCTTGTCAATGATTTGTTGAAACACAATGTAGATATCAACATCCAGGACAAGGTATGTAGAATGATCACTGTCATCTATTTTGCCATCTCACAATGCTCATGCCTTTTTCTTCTTTGTTTCTCTATTCCTCAAAGGAATCTTTTGTATTCAGGGATGACACTTATTGATGCTCTTCTTTTTAAACCTTTGTTTATGGTCTGATTTATCTTTCCAGGATGGACTGACCGCAATTCACAAAGCAATACTTGGCAAAAAGCAGGCCATTTTTAACTATCTTTTGAGAGAATCCGCAAATCCATTTGTTCGTGATAAAGTGAGTGGGAACTTATCGAGTACTTGTCATTTTTAATTATATCACAGCCAGAATATCATGCCTTTTTCATGTTCTTAGTAAATTAAAACTATCTATTTTCCCATACAATGGTAGTTGTTTTTGTGTGCATCATTGGTGCCAGCTTAGAATTTGCAATGACTGTTTGTGTGCCTTCAAAAACATGTTTGTTAAAAGCCAATATACTGAAGCTGTTCTGAATCCATTGCTATTTTCCAACTTTCATGTAGATTGTATTTTGTAATTGATTGATTTTCCCAAGCTTCATTCAATGACTTCGTCATCAGTCAATGTCATCGTCATCTTGAATTTCTCTTCAATTTGGGTGGATACGTATAGTTTAATTAGAAGTTCTAATATTGTGTGCTTTACCTGTACATAGTTTTTATGTTTAGCATTGCTCGATCAATTAGCTTGAACCTTGAGGAGATGTTGATATTTGGCCATTTGTTGATGTTTTGACTTTTGTATATCATATCCTTGCATTGATATACGTGGAGATTTTTCTTCATTAAGTCGATTGAACTGTTGGTTTTACCTATTTTTAATTTTTATATTTCGTTGACAACAGGAGGGGGCTACCTTGATGCATTATGCCGTCCGCACAGCTTCAACTCAAATGATAAAAATTCTTCTTTTGTACAATGTGGATCTAAACCTCCAGGACAATGTAGTGCTAATAGTTCTCTATTCCTGCTCTATTTCTAATCCAATTCAGGGTTTAATCCTAGGATGTGTTTTTCCTTTTCAGGATGGGTGGACACCATTACATCTTGCTGTTCAAACTCGCAGAACGGATGTAGTGAGGCTTTTGTTAATTAAAGGAGCTGATAAGACAATAAAAAACAAGGTAAATATTCATTGATTTCTTTGGTTGTCTTCAATGTATCAAGTTCTCTAATTATGAAAAAAAAAAAAAATGTATCAAGTTCTCTGCTCTGAGTGCTTCATGTCCCCGAGAGAGAACAATTCTTAAATAGTTGAAACTGCCTATTGATATGCATGTTCTGTTGTCATCCGTCCTTGATGTGATTCACAATTACTCAATATGGTGGCAAATCATACACTTCTTCTGCTTGACACTGCGACATTAGACAACATTAGATTATACTCTCCTTTGAGAAAAGATCAAGGTAAATTTTAACTCATGTAGCTAAATTATAGAACTTTTTAGAATAAAACATTCCTTTTGGATAGATAGTTTAACATATTTTGTGCTGGAAAAATAATTAGGCAACACTAGTTTTAAGATTGTGCAATTCATCACTTGATCAGACCTGAAATGCTCTTGCAAATAAAAGCCAATACTTTATAGTCCTTAACAATGCCTTAAAGTGTGTGATACAGAAATTATCTCGCCCCTGCTTTGAATTGTTGGTCTAACCGACCATTTGGGAAGGGTAAAAAAACAGTTCTAAAATCTTCCCATTTCACCATTGGGTTGGCTAAATGAAACGAAGAGTCTCAGAGATAAAGCAAGAGAAATTGTGTGATCAGCGGAGAAAATCTTACAATGGACCTACAAAAAACTATCACCTCAAAGTAAGCTTTATGTGACATGGTTCAGGAGAAATAAGGCAATTCAGCCCAAGGTTCCAGTAAAGAAGGGCATGGATGAAAGCCATTATTTTCGTTTGTTCTCTCCAAACTCTCTCTATAATTGAATTGATGAAAATTCTCAAAATATCTCTTTCCTTTTCTCTTCTTTTCTTTAAGGTAAAGAGCCAAACTGCATGTAGTCGGTTTCTAGCGAGGATTTTTTGAAACATGTCATCTGTACTTATATGCAGCAAGTGTTTAAATTGCATTTCACGACACTTGTTTGTCTCAGGATGGTTTAACTCCACTCGACCTCTGCCTCTATTCTGGTCAAGACATAAGGACTTATGAGCTAATTAAGTTGATGAAACAGCTTCCCAAGCCGTGATAACTGCTTTGACAACAAGCCATGCGTCGTTGGTGTTACATTTGCCCTACTGCTTTAACAGCAGAGTGTTGACTGCCATCCATTCATGCAAACTTGACGAAGAGCCGAATACCAACACCAGTGGCACACAAGAGCATCACACCCTGCTTGTTATAATACGATTGCCTCTGTACCTGTATTGTTTATAAGGCAAGCATATGTAAAATCTAATAGTTGTGCTCTCCATTTATTTGACAAAGCAATGTTTCGTAATTACAATACAGTCTGATGGTGGTTGTGACGAGGATTACAACAATGAATTTGATTGTAATATTAACAACTGCAGATGAAAAATGATAAAAGTCCCGATTTTTATAACCGAGTGATGTGGTAGTCGGTGAACTAAACAATTTTAAAGGAGAGACTGTCTTATTGATTACTGTGTAAGAGTCCTTGTTAGTCACTGTTTATTAGAGATGTCAAATACTGATTGCATTACTCGCAACGGGTATAGTAATGATGGTAATTCCATTTCTTTTATCCTCAGATAAAAATGATGAGACTGTTTTGGCTCTTGATAATGGTGATTATGGTATTGGTACTTGCAACTCTTCTGTATTTTTTATCTAGGTTTATGATTTACTGTTGAATTGTGTTTGTCATTTTTTTTTTTTTTTTTTATTTTATTTTTATTCGTTTCTTAGAACATTTCATAATTTCGTAATTTTTTATTGTGCACGTGTAGTTTCCCATCCCACCTACCACTACCACTGCCACTGCCACTGTGTGTGTATTTATACATACTGTTTGAAATTCTTGTGGTAGACTATATAGGAGCCACCATTCTAATTTTTAAGGAATGTACATAGTAAATCTATATGTTCATACGTATCTAAACTAACATTACTTCAATTGGTACAGAAACTATAAGGCATTACCGAATGTGTATGCAAGGATTCCAAGAAGACATGACATGGCAGTCATCTTCTCAATTGCCTCCATTTTCTGTTAAAGCAAAAGATCCTAGAGCTGAATTTAGTTCAATAGGACTGGCTTTTCTTCGTCGTTTTCAAAGTCCCACAATTTTTCTTAAAATTTCTTGTGATGGAGACTTCTTGCTACCAATTATTGTAGGTATGTAAAATCATGTTTTGCATAGTCCACGCTTTGTTGTCTCCAGTTATTCTGGTTGTCATCTCCAGACGGATTTGGGTGAAACTGTACAAGTAACGTTGTTTTCTGCTGTTGCAGGGGAATTTGCCGTCGAAAGACTTATAGATTCCTCAACGGAGGATGGGAGTGGGGTAATTTCTTATTTTATTTTTATTTTTTTATGTGAAATTAGTCGTTTCTTTATTTTCATGTTGATGCTCATGTAAGCATATGTAAAATCCAACAGTTGTGCTCTCCATTTATTTGACAAAGCAATGTTTCGTAATCATAATACAGTCTGTCCCTTGTGATGAGGATTACAACAATAAAATTTAATTGTCGGATGAAAAATGATAAAAGTCCCGATCGGTTTTTATAACCGAGTGATGTGGTAGTCGGTGAACTAAAACAATTTTAAAGGAGAGACTGTCTTATTGATTATTGTGTAAGAGTCCTTGTTAGTCACTGTTTATTAGAGATGTCAAATACTGATTGCATTACTCGCAACGGGTATAGTAATGATGGTAATTCCATTTCTTTTATTCTCAGATAAAAATGATGAGACTGTTTTGGCTCTTGATAATGGTGATTATGGTATTGGTACTTGCAACTCTTCTGTATTTTTTATCTAGGTTTATGATTTACTGTTGAATTGTGTTTTGTCATTTTTTTTTTTATCCGTTTCTTAGAATATTTCATAATTTCGTAATTTTTTATTGTGCACGTGTAGTTTCCCATCCCACCTACCACTACCACTACCACTGCCACTGTGTGTGTATTTATACATACTGTTTGAAATTCTTGTTGTAGACTATATAGGAGCCACCATTAGGTCAATGCATTTTACAAGCATTATCATAACATCGGGTGAATGTTGGATGTTAAGTTTGCCAACTTTTTTGGACCTAAAAGTCTGATGTATTAACCAATGGCAACAGAATGATCCAACCTTTGATTTTTACTTTCTCTAGGTAGCATTGAACACGAGTTTTTCAACACATTTGTTGTGAGATGGTGACGTTAAACAAATCATTGGCAATACGAAATTTTCTTTTGCTTTCTTCTCAGAACAGAAGTTGATGCAATAATATAAAGGAGTTATTTCTCCACTTTGGAATCTCCGAGAAAGAGTCATTTTCATGTTCCTACTAAAAACCTCCCCCTAATGCTCATATTTGTTTAGGGTCAGTTTGGTTTGATGGAATTGAGAGGGAAAGAAGCGAATGTTTTTAAGGCTGTGTTTGGTCTGCAAGAAATTGGGGCCTTGTAATTGATAAATATGGAGAGAAAAATTTAGTTTAATTTTCTGAATTGTTTTTTATTTTTCAGTTTCATCAATCTCAATTCCAAAGTTTCAATAAAATGCAGCCAAATATAGCCTAAAGAAAAATTCATATTGTGTTTGTGTTTAAAAAAATGAAGAGAAATGAAGGAGAATTTTTATTTTGCCCTTATCGCTCACAAAAGAAGATAATTAATTTTTTTTTTTTTTTTTGCAAGGAAGTTAATATCATCTTTTTCTTTCTTTTCTCTCATTAATTGAGGTTAACACTGTGATCTCAATTCTTTATCTTTTCTCTATTGATTAATGTTATTCTTTTCTTTCTCATTTAAGGAAAATAATTTTTGCATCGATTTGTCATAGTAAATTGATATATTTATTTATTTTAATTAATTCATCTATGTAATAAATAAATAAATATAATTTTTTACTTATTTATATTGTGCATAAATAAGTCAATTAAAAACTTTTAATTAAGTAATTTACTACAAACAAGTATCACTACTTACTCATTTAAACAAACTTAGCCTAAATAATATTTCATTTTCTTATTTGATATCTCTCATCTCTTCTCAATTAGTATAAATCTAACAAGAATTGTGATGACACGTGTTGAGAGTCGTCAACCAAATCAAAGACAGACTATGGGCCCATCACAATAGCTCGATTGTCAGTTTGGAGTTTTGTTTCTAGTTTGAATTATTTTTAAATAAATAAATAACACGTGGAGTTTTTAAATAAAAAAATCTAAATTTTTAAAAAATAAGTAGAAATTAATTAATAGTCCAAGCAATAAACCAAATAAAATATTTGTTAGTGGAAATGAGCTGGGATAGACACATCACATGCGGATGGATACACGTTGTTCAAAGTGATCAATTCGGAGTAGTCATCCACTCATCCTACCATCTAGCACCAGACACGCGTTTCAAATCTTTTTTTATTTCTTTGTGAAATGACACAATTATTTTTCAAGTTGACTAATTATTTTTCAATTATATTGTAGTTGGACACAATTGATACAATTTTGGAAACCGCGGGGTAGTTTTGCAAATTGCAATTGTGAATAAAATGATCAAAATGAGTCTTTGTATATATCTTACTAAATTATATTAAATCTTACAGCGAATTGTATTAAACTTTCTTGACTTGTTTTGCTAATTAAATCTTTGCTAAATCTTTTTTATGATAAATTTAATTTTTTTGGTTTCAGCATCAGATCAAACCTCATCAGCACTACCTAATTTGAGTAAAAAGAAAAAGAATTTGTTTATTGACTAAAAAGTAAAAACAGGGTGATTTTACGATAGAGAAGGTGAATAAGATGAGAATTTTTTTTTTTAAATACAATTTTAAGAAGGAAGGAAGAAAGAAAACTTTAGTAAAAGAAGTAATACAAGATATCACTTATCTTACAAATTAACTATAGAATAATTAATGATTAATAATTAATTTATTTTTCTTTTACTTCATTTCCATTCAAAAGAATGTTTAACCTTCACAATTTCTTTTAACATTTTTTTTACCGTTTAATCCCAATTTCTTTTTCCTTCCCTCTAAAACTTTCATTTTCTCATCATCAGAGAAATAATGTAAATTTTTAATCATAAAAGTTGAGTTAACAAAATTATTGAAGAGTCTTGTTGAAGAGTAGTTATGGGGTGCGTCAGATATGGATGCCATAAATTTTTTTTTTTTTTTTCTAGTTAGTAATTACACACATATACATCCGCTAAGGTTCAAACTCTTGATTTTTTTTGAAAAGTAAAGATCTGGTATCACTAGACCACACGTCTATTGATACCCACATCATTATTTTACAAGCAGGTGAACCAAATTTTTTTTTGAAATGATACTGGTTTATTAGTCAAGCATACTAATAACTTGGTAATAATGATGAATAGTCGAGCATGCTAATGACTTAGTATGCCTAAGCAGTCAATATCTACTCATTATTGAAAGGATTTTTGGTTTTTGAAAAAAAAAAAAAAAAAAAAGTTGTTGAGGGACATTTTAGACTTTTAAACATCGATAATTCCCATATCTTACCGACAATGATTTAAAGATTATTTTATCCAACTTTTATCCAGAAGCGGCAGTGAGCCTACTCGCAACCCAACCAAATAAAGATTTGTAAAAAGTCCTCTGCGTTAGGCCAAAACCGTCTTTTTACTTCAACCATTCTTCTTCTTCTCTCAGCAAAGTAAGCTAACGAATTTGCTCTCTCTCTCTCTTTATATATATATATATATATATATATATAGATATAGATATATATACATATCATCGTAATCATCGTCAGATGATGATCGGAGCTCAGTGTTGGGACCGTACAGTTTCCGGAGTTTGGAAGGCGACAGATCCGGCAAATGCCGGCCGTTCGATTTCGAATTCGCTCCTTTACTCTTCGAATCGCGTCTCGTTTCAATTAGGTTTCCAACGCCGCAGACATTTTCGTAAATCAAAATCGATCCTTGTATGCTGTAGGTCTTCTCGAGGAAGCTTCAATGGCAAATCGAGCCACAACAGCAACGAAGAACGCGATCACGAGTATCTCGAAGCCTTCATCCTCCTTTCAGGTCTCAATTTCACCATTCACAGCATATAATTAATTTTACATGTTCTCCACTTTTACCTAAATTCTAATTGTTATATATATATATATATTTTTTTTACCTAGGAGAACAACATCTTGTTGATTTGATTATTGTTTCTGAATTTCTTTACCATAGCATTATTTAGGATTTGAAAATTGAAACTATATTTCGTAGCATGGAGTTCTTTGGCAATTGTTGGATTTTTAAAAAAAAATTGGATTAGTCGATTTGGAGAACAATGCTAAATTTTCCTCCAATTTCAATTCTAAGGTGCTGAAAACACCAACACCTCATTTTCTAATTTTTAAGGAATGTACATAGTAAATCTATATGTTCATACGTATCTAAACTAACATTACTTCAATTGGTACAGAAACTATAAGGCATTACCGAATGTGTATGCAAGGATTCCAAGAAGACATGACATGGCAGTCATCTTCTCAATTGCCTCCATTTTCTGTTAAAGCAAAAGATCCTAGAGCTGAATTTAGTTCAATAGGACTGGCTTTTCTTCGTCGTTTTCAAAGTCCCACAATTTTTCTTAAAATTTCTTGTGATGGAGACTTCTTGCTACCAATTATTGTAGGTATGTAAAATCATGTTTTGCATAGTCCACGCTTTGTTGTCTCCAGTTATTCTGGTTGTCATCTCCAGACGGATTTGGGTGAAACTGTACAAGTAACGTTGTTTTCTGCTGTTGCAGGGGAATTTGCCGTCGAAAGACTTATAGATTCCTCAACGGAGGATGGGAGTGGGGTAATTTCTTATTTTATTTTTATTTTTTTATGTGAAATTAGTCGTTTCTTTATTTTCATGTTGATGCTCATGTATGGCATGCTGCAGGACTCCCCAAATCACTTCCAGCTCGTCAAAAATCTTGTGGGAAATCTTGGCTACGAAGTACGGAGCTATATCTATCCATTTAAGACTTGTTTTAAGCTTTCGTTCATGTCCAACTAAAGATGCTCATTACTCATAAATTACGATTTTTCAGTATTTGCTTGATTTCCAAATTTGCACTGCTCTTATTTCTTTTGCTCTTTTATAATTTCTGATCTGATAAAATTGATTGTATAATCATTTGGAAAAAAGATCGAGAGAACTGAAAAAGACATGGTGATAGGGTTGGTTTGACATTTTTCTACCCCAATTTGCTAGAAGCAAAGTGCAAGTTACTGATTGATTTTGTATTCCATTACTTGGGTTGAGGGATAGCAGATTTTGTTGTTGAATTTTCACATGCCTCTGGGACTTATTCAGCTGCTTTGAGAGGCTCCACCTACAATTACATATAATAACAACCCCGTTTCCTATATTAATTTAGGTTCATGAACTTCTAGAAAATCTATGAAATATAAAGGAATTCATCAGACGAAGTGCCTCTGTGCCAAGCATAGTGCTAGGATCTGTAGGTATACCTTCTAGTGACTCAATGTGACCTGTTGACTGCATTGGTGCAATTTCCACACTCTTCGGATCAAATATATATATATATTTTTAAATATCGATATTTCATGTATTAATCTTTACTAAATGCTCTTCCTAAATTTAAATAGTTGTAGAAGATAAATTTGATATAATGATTTTGAAATTCAAAATATTGTGAGATCTATGAGCAGGTTAGAGTTTAAACTACAATGACACGTCATCATCTTCAATTCATCTCTAAGTCTTATTAATATACATGTTCTTGTCAGTTTTTCCATTATGTTATAGAAAAGATCTTTAATTTTAATTAACTTATATTTCATATAATTTCTAACTTGATGGTTTGACCCTTAAGATCAAGTATCTTATATATTTTTTATTGGAACTCTTTATCTTTTTCAAAAAGCAAAAAAAAAAAAAAGAAAGAAAAGAAAAGGCCAAGGACAGAAAATCCTAAAACCATTGTAGCATATTTCTCTAGACGTACCATACTTACTCTATTGCTTTCTGATTCTCACTAGATCTACCATACATATTTGGTTATACATATTCTCTTTCCTTATCCTTGAATATCTTTATGTTTTTTCTCATGATTAGTATGCCAGGCTTAAAAATAGATCACTATGAAATCTTTATTTTATTAGCTTGTGCTACAGCTTTATACTTTTCTTTATTTTTAGCACGCATGTTATTTCATGTTTGTTTTTCTGTTACACTTGTTCGTGGTTGAGTTATTTGTATTAGCTTCTGTTCTAACCTCATCATGCCTCTCCAATTCAATTTATATGATGGATATTTCTCCTTTGTTCCAACTTATCAAACAAATATTTCTCCTTAGTTCCTTAAAATATTCATTAGCTACATTTTCATGAAATGAGCTATGTGATACACAGTAGCTTAGTTTATCTTTTGAAATTTTGTTCGTATTCTTCTATTAGTTAACTTAAATGTTTGTATCCATTATTCTTTATTAATTATTCTCCTAGATCTTGTGCTATTATTTTCTCTAGCCCTATAGCTTTGCTAAAATTACACCCTATGGTTTAAAATTTACAGTTACCTCCTCTGTTAGTGGCATCCCTTTTAACGGGGTTATTGGTTGGTTTGATATTGTTAACACGCACTTAGATAATATGTGACATTTGTTTAACAAAGATGTCTTGTAAAATGAAGGCAATACGCATGACGTCATAATTTTCCGTCTTTGACCAACATTGACCGTTAACAATTACCATGTTCCCTTTTTAGGGGAGGTATTGTAATTTTTGAAACCATAAGGAAGGTCTAGTGTAACTTTTCCAAGACTCAGGGGAGCTCATTCAAATTTACCGTCTTTTATAATATCTTTCTTCTATCTCTTAGTATAACTATCTTATGCTCCTTTTGTTATTGGCTCTCACTTCATAGGGTAGTCTTTGTATTTTTTTGAGTCAGCTGCTTCACTATAACTTTCTTTTTTCCTAGAAAGAAAGTATTTTTGGCTTAGTAACTGCCTTTTGTGTTAAAGCATATCATGATATATTGTATGCATTCATCTAATTGTGGACTTAAATTTGACTAATTCATTTCAATTATTTTTTCAACTTTATAGTTATCAACAGTGTCTCATAATGTCTGCATCCTAAGTTATTAACTACTATATTACTTGTCTAAATTGGCATGCAATATTGCACTTCACTTTCTAAATTAGGGAGTAATTCATGTTTTATATGTTCCTTTGTTCAATGTTTAATATTTTCCATTCAAAACGGCTTTAAATGTGGGTCAATTCTTTCATATTTACTTTAAATTTCAATTTCAGGTGAAAATGGTGAAGATTACAGAAAGAGTGGTTAATACTTACTTTGCCAGGATATTTTTTTGCAAGGTATGTATATAACTAAGAAATATATACTTCTGAAACTACCATTTTTTTAGGAATTTTTTTCCATCTTCACTTAAAATTTTTATTATCTGCAGCCTGGGGAAAAAGATATTCTTAGTGTTGATGCGCGTCCTTCAGATGCCATAAATGTGGCAAATAGATGTAAGGTTCGTATTTCTAGCCCCTTGGAGGACTAAGTGCTATTGCATTGTGCAGAATTTGGGATTCGTCATAAACAACAAAGCTTATTTTCCAGATGTAAAAATGGAAGTGTTGCTGAGCTAATAAAATAAGACTATAGATAGTTTCTTTTAGTATAATAAGTTGAGATATCTTATAAGCATGAACTCTGTTTATTTCATCTATATCATGAATCTGTTAAATGAGTACAAAAGGGACTTGCGCATAACTCAAAAAGTTTAAATGAAGGCAGCCTTTTTCCAATAACTTGTGTTATACTACGAAGAAGCCTGTTTGTGATTGGTCATCACATGTGATTTCCTATGTTCTAGACGCATTTGGCATGATTATGATTGATCACTTCTTGTCAACATTTTTTACATGGCATCACGTATGGAGCTGTGTTGGTTTCATTGTTCATTCTAGTGTTCTATCACGATAAGTATCATCTTGATGTTTTTATCTTTTCCCTGAGATACTTAGTTACTTAGGGACTCAAACGTCTTTTCCATAAATTATAATGGTTTGACCACGTGTTCTTATAAATAAATAAAAATGGTTTGACCACGTGTTATTTGTAACTTCTGTAATTTTAAAAGGAAGTTCTTTATGTTGGATGTTTATGCTATTTTATGGGATCGTTTGAAGAATTATATAGTACCAGTCTACGGAAATGCTTCATCTGTAACCTCTGATATGAATCCTTTCAACTTAAATGACTGTTTGCGGGTGCACCTTATTTACCATTAATCACTTGGAAGATTGTATTTTTGGAGCCACAGTTGACTTTGATTGAAAATTGACCTATGCAGGCACCTATATACGTAAATAAACAAATTGTCATGTCGGATGCTATTAGAATTGCTTATGGAATGGGCAGACCACGTGGTGCGAAGTGTATTTATGATGTATCCTTAGACAGGTATGAATCCTGTTCTCTCTAGCACCTTATTTTCACTATAGTGGGTTTTGTTGTACCTCTAAGTAGGAGTTATATCACATTCAGTGCTGCAGATGGTCCGGATTTACTTACTGAAGAACTAAATCTGATTAAAAATTTGAATTTGGCTGTCAAAGAAGAAAGATACAGCGATGCAGGTATTTAGGGCAGTAGAATCAAACTTTTGCATTTTAAATTGACAGCGTGCCATTGTATTATTTGATTTTTTTCGCATGATCAGCACGTTTATATTGCACCAAAAAATGGAAAATAAAAACGAAACCGGAGTCATCGCTAATTACTGGTTCTTGCAGCCATGTTGAGAAAGAGACTAACTAGGCTTCTTGAGTCGAGGCATGAGTTTTAGACTTGTTGTTGAGGTATATCTTCCTTTCCCTTGTGCCCATTGTTTATTCATATCTAATTTCTGGACCTTGGACCTGGTCGTGCTATGTTGTCTTTGAATTTTGAATTTCAACCCTATAAATCGTTGTGTTTTTTCAGATTAATCTATGAATATTCGTGCTTGTGAATGACGGGATAGTGCATGTCAGAAGAGAAAACCTGTGACCTTGACTTTGAAAGACAAAGAAAGACCTGATGAATTGATAAATTGTCTAAGAAATATGTGAAGTATTGATACGGTTCTGCGTTTTCCGTATTGTAAATTTGAACTCGATTGAGCAATTGCATCGTTGTATATAGTCACGACCATCAATCTTCTTTTGTATGCAATTATAAATTCTGAACCACAGCTGTGTTTGTATGTAACAGTTGGCAAGTTTTGTAAAAATAAATTAATCAATGTCCATAAGAAGCTTATATAAGCGAATTCTGTGTTTGCTATACTTTCTTGGGGAATTGCATGTTTGGATTTGTATGGTGCTTGTAGAATATGGTACAGCAAAAACTTTCACCAACCAATGGTCTGGTGACATAGTGAGAGTTGATTCGTAAATCACAAGTTTGATCACTAGTTAAACAAGCTATGAAATATTAAGCAATTGCCATAATTTTTTAGCCACAAAATTGGAGATTCGGAATCAAAATCTTGTTGACTATAAACATTGTTTAAGGTTCATATATAAAAAATAAAATAAAAATAAATTGTTTTGTGATCAGAATCCTTTATGTAGAGAACTATAGGTAGGAGAACGCAAAAGCCAAAAGGTCAAAATCATTGGAGGCTTTAATGATTTGTTTTGGCCATCTGAGGAGGGGGGTGGTTGCGAAAAAAATTTAAGAACATGGTTGATAGTTGTTCCCTTGTTGATTTGGGTTATAAAGGTTATCCATTTACCAAAGGAGCAGAGACGCTAATATTCAGGAGGGGTTAGATTGAGCATTGGTAACAACGGGGCATTGGAGTACAACTTTCCTGAAGGCTCGAGTCACTCATAACATGGTTGGCAGTAGCGGTTACTATCGCAGTGTTACAGACTCAGACAAAATCAATGTAAATTAATCGATACGGATCGTATATCGGATTTGAAAAAGAATCGCGTATCGAACAATACGACGAACTATGGTTGAGAAGGCTCACCAATTTCATTTTGATGTTAGACGGGTGCCAGAGGCAGATTGTCATTACATAATTATTGTGAATTGCAACGCGTGCCCCCATTGTTCAGGCAGTCGTGTTCCATCCTTTCCCCACTTCTTCTGCCATGGAGGCATTTTGCTCGGGCAAAGTCATTGATTGGGCCAAAAAAGGCTCTTACACCTGCATATGGTTTGAAAGTTATGCCAAGGTTGTGATTGATGCAGTTATTTGTTCTTATCAAAAGTTGAACCCTCACCTGCACATACCATTAGGCTCCACCCGAGGAAGGAAAAAATAACATACTACACATTGTTATGGCTAGGTGGTTTGGAATGAGTCTGGTGTACATACAAAATATATATATATATATATATATATATATATATATATATATGCATTAAATATTTTAAACATTAATCGGTTTAATGTGGGAATATTAAATTAATATTGGCTATTATTTTTTTTTTTATGAATTTGTATTAAATATTTAATTAATTTAAATAGATTCAGTAAGAATTGGAAGGCATGATTTAAGTTTACATGTTAAGTATGGAATTTAATTAATTTAATAGAATAAATTAATTAGATTTAAATAAATTATTTTAATTAATTGCTTGGATTTAAATTAATTTAACTAGAACAGGGAGATGTACAATTTAGTTGAGATGCATGTTAATTTCTTGTGATGTAGATTAAATACATGCTACTTAGAATTGATATTTTTGCCCAAGTAAATGCAAAGGATGTGTATGATTTATATCATATTTATTTGGATTATTATATGTAAACATTATTGACATTATCCTTGGATGTGAAACTTATATTTGATTATGATATGGATTAATGCACCATTATGGGATGGGGGCATATTAGGGACGGATTAATTTAAGAGTTAAGTCCTACCTATTTTTAATAAGGGAACGGATTAACCACAGTGTTAAGTCCTACTTATTCGTGTCAGGTCAACGGAATAGTTGGATGACATAGTATTGAAATAATAATTGGATAGTTTATTTTTGATGGTTGGATATGACGGATTTTAAATATATAATTATACACCATGATATGAGCTTGAGTCTCATGATCAGTGGTTAGGGTGCGTATATTGCCAGGGATGTGTAGCTAGATATAGCGTAGTTGTGTACCCTGGAAGGTCTAGGTACTCATGCCCACTATATGTGCGTTTTGCATGTTGTTTACTATTCAGGTTGAGACAACTCTATAGTCTAGTGAGGTTCCTTTAGTGTGTATATATCTACATATGGACTATTTAGTTATTGTTGAATTCATTAGGATGTGTACGTGTATCGGGTCTTTGTTTGCGATATAGTAGATTAGAACTTGTTTGTAGGCCTGACCCACCATTATTTTTTAGGTGTTCGTCAGTTCCAGTCTTAGAGATTGTTCGTGCCCAGCAGAGACAGTCATTTACTCTTCCGACTCTACGTAGGACTCGTCTTCATTAGTTACTTATTATTTTTATTTCGGTTCAGTTATTTCAGTTAGGATATTATTAGGGGTCCACAGGATGGATTCCCGAGTTGTAGTTTAATTAATTACTAGTATCCGAAGATTGGAGGATTTTATTATTGGATTTTTAATTATTATTTATTTGAGGATTTTAAAATAGGGATTTATTATTTAGTTTCCTTCAGCTTATTATTTATTTATTCTTTATTATTCTTTTTGTATTCAAATGCTTGTTTAAATATTAAATGTTTGATATCCCTTGTATTCTGTGCTCGGACTTGATCACCCGTGACTCTAGAATTGAAGGGTATCACAAATTCTCTCCCGGTTTCTAATACTATTAACTTGAAATTTTAGTTATTCAATTGAGAGTCGTCACAAGCTCTTAATCTAACAAACGACATTACAAATTGAGAGTACCAAATTAGCACTTTAAACTTGAAATTTGTAAAAATTTTAGTATTTATACTTATTTGAGAAGCAATGGTTGTGTAACATAGAGGTACTTTCTATTCCTTACAAAGTAGAAAGTTTGGGTTCAAATACTCCTTTTGTCTCTTATTAGTAATCCATTTTTCTCTTTTTACATGTCCCAAATTAGTTGTCCTCTTTGAAAAGTCAAAACATCTTTTCTTTATATTTCCATCATCGTCCTTTATCTTTTTAAAAAATTTCAAACATTGTAACTATATATATTTAAATTAAAAAGGACAATTTGGTAATTTTTAAAAGAAATAATGCATTAATTGTATGTCTCCTTAAAAAGTTATAAAATAAAAAATAGACAACTAATAAGATATGGAGATAGTAAATAAAGAAATAAAGGAAATTACTTATGGGGTGAGATCGATTACTTTCAAAAGTCCAATCACTGGGTCTAGTGAGGATAATGGACCTGGCCCATCTATAGACCATGACATTTATACAAAATGGAAGCCACATGGTTGTGGGCCCTGGTGGGTCCTTTATTAGGTACATGATGTATCGGTTCTTACCCAACCAACATTGTTCTGCAAAGTAGTAAGAAACATAAGCCTTTTGGGTCAGCTCGGCCCATTTGAGGTAATACAAAACTAGCACTCGGACAGAAAAAGTTTCCTCCCAGGACAAAATCTTTGAAACAAATCAAGTCTAATTAACAATTTTCATTTTTCAAATTGAAAATTTTCATGGTTTAGATTATTCAATTTTTATTATGATTGGGATTCTAATTTGATTCACCGAGAGACTTAGGAACCCTTGTAAACTTACCCAAAGGCTTCAACTGCATGTTACTACACGTTCAGAGTTGGTTTGGAACTAGGAATAGTTTACATGTTTAATTTATTCTCGGGTGTCGAAGGATATAAATATTAAAATTACACTCCCTTTAACAACTTAATCTTTTCTAGTAGTTGATTGTTAACACGGTATCAAAATGAAAAAAGATCAATTTTTTTCCATTTATGTTTGCAAATAAAGTCTCATACACTAGAAGCAAATACAAAGATACTAATGTATGTAGAGATTTTAGCCGTAAATGACTTTAGTTGTGTAATTCATGAACTAGCTATCAAAGACCAAAAAAAAAAAAGTTTGAGAATTTAACACTAATCATTTCACATCAAGTTTGTGACACCCATAATTAAATTACAACCTTTTGTTAAGGCTAAATGCTCCTCCCATTTCTTGGTGTTCGACTGACTTACTTAGAAACAATAGTTCAGTTGAGGCATTTAATCAAACAGTGGGTGCACAGAGATATATATATTTTTTTTAAAAAAAATAATTAAAATTAAAATTAAAATTAAAATTGAAAAAGAAAAATGGGTATTTTAATGGGTATTTACAACCTCCACGGACAATTATAGTTCGATTACTGTTGGAATTGTAACTCTCTCGAACACCTAGAACATTCTTTGTAGTGTGATCCCTCCATACACCTCATCTATTATTTTGACGAGAATATGCACTCTTCGGAAGTGCAGCGCTTCTTCAACTCTTTGTAGAAAAGACACTTCTCGGAACGGAAACTCTTAACCACGTATAAGGGTGCAGCGCTTCTTCAACTCTTTGTAAAAAAACACTTCTCGGAACGGAAGCAATTCATCGTCAAAGTATTTAAGTCATTAAACCCAACTTTAGAATAATAGTTGCAAAAATTTCAAGAATTTGACTAGTGGATGGGAAGGTTCCTTCTCACTCCCTCTTGGTTACAAATCAACTCCCCACCCTATTTATAGGCATCTTACCCGAAGCTGAACCGTACAACACTCTACATAAATTTTACAAACAAATATCCGTAAACTCCCATATTTTAGAGTCTTTAAATTATTCTAAACAAATAGGGAAGACTATAGAACATCATGGATATCACTCTCCTCTCCTCAACTCTCCCGTGGGCACAATCTCTTTGCACAATTAGGTCTTTGCACAATTAGGTGGTGGAGAGACACACAACTATGATAAAAATTGACCAATGTAAATAAACAATGTGTCATGCAGAATCAACCTTTTGCATTTTAAAATTGATTAGTAACGATGGCCTTTGTATTATTTGAAATGATCAGCACTATTATGTTTTTTTGGGTAAGTAAAATGATCAGCACTTTTATGTTGCAAAAAAAAAAAAAAAAAATGGATGAGTTTCATTAATGGTACTTTGAAAGACACAAGATCACCTGATAAATTGATAAATTGTAACCATCCTTGATGTATCACAGTTGTATCATAATCGTTGTTCTCTTTGATAACAGCACAGTTTTATATTATAGTGGACTGCATGTAAATGTTTTAAAAATATATTTAATGAACTGTCCCACAAAATTTTTGATTTACAACACACAGACATTAA